CTGTAAGGACAATGGATATCGTCTCCTATAATACGATCTGGTTTTGCGGCTAAGAATGCGTTAGTTCTGTCGATAATTATATCGCAGTCTTGTAACGCACATGTGGGGATGTTCGTTAGAGACACCACCAGGACCTGAAAACATCCACTTCCGGCGACACTCCGTAACGGATCGTGAGTAGAGAGAGAGAAAAAGTAGAATTTTGTTTCCCACTCCGGTGTGGTCATTTTATTCCGATTATCCCTGGGATAATCGAGTCGTGTTTTTCCATTTAGGCGGAGTTATTTTTCGTTGCTTCGCGCTTCTGTTTAGTAATTTTGCGGTTTCGTTTCGTTTTTGACTAATTAAGATCTGAAAATTGCGCGTTTTCGAGGGCCCATAGGGTTATCGTGAAGAAGGGCCAAATTTTAGAGTCATCCGATAATTTTTATGGGAACCACCCTATTGTTAATCTTAGGGGAAATCATGTAGGTCCGGTTGACATACCGGCGCTTCAAATTATGATGGATTTTACGGTGGTTAACTGGTTAAATTTCAGTTTTTCGGTGGAAGGTCACGTGGAACAAGTGCAACCCTTGTATCTCGTGAACTGCCAGGTTGCATCAAGATTTTTGGAAATTTGGGAAAATTAGTTAAGAGTATCGATCTTTTAACCCCGTAAATCCAGGAGAACAGACCCGTAGGAAGCGCCAAAAATCCACGGTAATTTTCCGAACGTCCACCAGTTCGGCCCAGATTAATCATTAGTCTATTTTTATAAAGTTACGTATAAAATAATTAGATTGAGTATTTTTCGCGTTTGAATTCCCCGAAAGCATTCGATGGCGCCATCAAACCCCCTGCTTGATGTGCTAAAATCTCCGTCAATCAGAGCCCGCCTCTGCTGGCCGGAATTTGCGCTGCGGTTAGTGCCCGTGATACTGACCCAGGGCAGATAGTTCCGCGTTGACCGTCCCAATCAACTAGTCGCGTGTGAATTTTCGTGTGCCCCCATTACGCAACTGCGCACTTGGATTATTGCGAAGTTATCCTGTAGCTGTAAGGATCCAGGATGGTCCGAAAAGGGAAGAGGACCCTCAAAAACCGAAAAGCCGTGCGTTTTCTTGTATTTTTCCCCTAATTTCGAGCCATTTTTGAATGGCGTCGTTTCCCCTTTATGGCGGTATCCTTCGCGTGGCCCTCAGCCACGTGCAGTGGTTGATTACCCCCCCTTGATTCATATTTGTTGGTCCGAATGTGGCACTTTTTTGGGCATTATCCCTTACCCCGGATATTTATCCGCGGGCCCTTCTGATTTTTGGATCGGATACTCCACCCAAATCGGTTCGGTACCGAGTTCTCACCCCCTCCGGTTTATGCCAATCATCTTTTGAGATGATTTTTGGGTTCAGCGAGTGTGTTTGTTCGGTAGTGGAATTCTTGCATCTTTTCCCAGTCGAAATCGAACGATTTTCGACGTGGGTTATTTGCTTCTCCCTCGCTCCTATGGCGAGGAGTAGCCCTATTTTTCTTACGTATAAATTGCGTAGAGTTTTTCTCCTCGCGGTAACCCCCTAACGCGGCGACAAGTGGTGACTATCGCTTTCCGTAAGCGTGTTCCCCCGTTTAAATTTCCCTCCGGATATAACTCAATCTGGAGTGGCTCCCAATGATCCCAAAATTATAATTTTGGTTTCGTGAGCTTCGCTAGACCTTCCCGAGCAAGTTGGCTATGGGTTTTTGAAAATTTACTCTACCGAATTTCCGCTACGGCGAGTTTAGTTTTAGGGAGTTTTTAGTTTCCCGCAATACGCTATACGTATATCGCTGGGTTTAGATTTTTCTCTCTCTCACTCTCACAGGGATTCGCATACCTTTCCCTTCAATTCTCGACATTCTCGAGTATTTCGGGATTAATCGATAATTTTTCGTACACATTGTGGTATGAGGAATTTGATGACCTCACTGGTGGTCGAATTAATCGACCAAATATTACTTTTGCATTATATAGGAGAATTCAAATAATTATTTCCAATTTAATTTTTTTTCATTATTGCTATTTAATCAATATTGTTAAGCATCTTTTTTTGTGAGATCAATGCGAAAAGAAAACCATGTAAATTAATAATTTTTCAACTTTCAATAGTGAAACACGTAAGGACAATGTCGATTTCTCCCTTTCGTTGTAGTTTTGACCACCCAATACCCGTCTCCACCTGAAATCCACCCCTCTCCACAACCTAGCACACTGAGCGAACCCAGGACCGTTACCTTTCTCCAGAAATCTAGTTTTTCTCCCCTTTTGAGTAAATTTTTGAGGTTTTGGGATTAGTTAAAATTAATTTGGTATATTCCTTCGGTTTGGTAGTCCCGGCTAAAAATTACCTGGCGCCCATAGATTTTTGCATTTTTGAGTTTAACTAGATGAAGGGGAAAAAGGGCGAAGGTAATAGGCATTTTTAACCCCCATACGAAAATGTCACGTTACAGTCTTGTACACGTAGAGGTTTTTTGATGTCTGCATTGATACAAAGCACCTACGATTCAGCTCGCTTTGAAGGTGGGTAAAGGATATCTTTTACTGTCGCTGCCCTTGGCGTATTTTGTCTTATACGACATATACGTCCAAACTGGTGGCTGAAAAGGATCTTCTTCACATACATATTCTAGTTAGGATCAAGCGATCGCGATTTTGTTCAATATTTTCACGATCGTTCTGCCAATCACGAAGAACGGAGTAATGGTTGTCCAAAGGTTCTGCATACATCTCTGGTGTCATATCTGGCTTTTCACAATTGCGGCCATAATCGGAGGGCCCTCTGGTTGAGTTGGTTTCATCAGAAAGTAATGGGGGCCTTTTCTTCTTTTTCACGAATTTTGTGTTGTAGACATTCTTTCTCTGCTTCTGCCACTCCATATTTATAAGCTGTTGAGGACGTATTTTATTCAATCCTTCGTGAAGAGAACTTCCAAGATCCTGACTGTTGAACTAAATGGCCGCCATTGCAATGCGAGCCGGATACATGAGTTTTAATTGAACATTCACACCCTTGTGGTAAACATTCTTTGCCAAAACTGAGTTGAACTAATGGGCGAGATTCGCCGTGGCTCCTGCTAACACATCTTCAGCTGCGAGAGCCCATGTATTCATGATTGCTTGCAACTTATCATATAATCGATTCTCACGCAAAGCTGGAATCAAATTGATCTCATTGTCTTTATTATTACCGTCACAGAAATATTCTGCATACTCCCGATGAGATCCAAAAACATGGCTCAGAATATTTTTCATGTCCTTTCTCAGATTTGATATTTTCGTAGGGGTTGTCATCTCTTCCTCACCCCTCCAAAAGTTGGCAGCACTCATGCTACCGCCATGCAAATTGATTGAATTTTTCCAAAAACAATTTTTTTCAGATTTTTAGCTTCATCCGAAAGTCCAGTTTTGAATTGTGCTATCACTTTTCGCATTTCTCGCACTCGACATCATTGTAGATGACAGCGACATTCCCCCTTGAATACCATACAAAGTCCAGAATATGGGTCAGCATCTCTCACTTTCTTGATTACGCTGCTGTCACCGTCTCCAATGAGCTTGTTATAAATCAGAACAAGCTGCTCCAAGCTCTGTGTAAATCCTTGAACAGTAAGACACTGGAAGAAGATGTCGAAATCAAGGACCTCGAGGAGACAGCAACGAAGGAAGNCGTTGTAGTTTTGACCACCCAATACCCGTCTCCACCTGAAATCCACCCCTCTCCACAACCTAGCACACTGAGCGAACCCAGGACCGTTACCTTTCTCCAGAAATCTAGTTTTTCTCCCCTTTTGAGTAAATTTTTGAGGTTTTGGGATTAGTTAAAATTAATTTGGTATATTCCTTCGGTTTGGTAGTCCCGGCTAAAAATTACCTGGCGCCCATAGATTTTTGCATTTTTGAGTTTAACTAGATGAAGGGGAAAAAGGGCGAAGGTAATAGGCATTTTTAACCCCCATACGAAAATGTCACGTTACAGTCTTGTACACGTAGAGGTTTTTTGATGTCTGCATTGATACAAAGCACCTACGATTCAGCTCGCTTTGAAGGTGGGTAAAGGATATCTTTTACTGTCGCTGCCCTTGGCGTATTTTGTCTTATACGACATATACGTCCAAACTGGTGGCTGAAAAGGATCTTCTTCACATACATATTCTAGTTAGGATCAAGCGATCGCGATTTTGTTCAATATTTTCACGATCGTTCTGCCAATCACGAAGAACGGAGTAATGGTTGTCCAAAGGTTCTGCATACATCTCTGGTGTCATATCTGGCTTTTCACAATTGCGGCCATAATCGGAGGGCCCTCTGGTTGAGTTGGTTTCATCAGAAAGTAATGGGGGCCTTTTCTTCTTTTTCACGAATTTTGTGTTGTAGACATTCTTTCTCTGCTTCTGCCACTCCATATTTATAAGCTGTTGAGGACGTATTTTATTCAATCCTTCGTGAAGAGAACTTCCAAGATCCTGACTGTTGAACTAAATGGCCGCCATTGCAATGCGAGCCGGATACATGAGTTTTAATTGAACATTCACACCCTTGTGGTAAACATTCTTTGCCAAAACTGAGTTGAACTAATGGGCGAGATTCGCCGTGGCTCCTGCTAACACATCTTCAGCTGCGAGAGCCCATGTATTCATGATTGCTTGCAACTTATCATATAATCGATTCTCACGCAAAGCTGGAATCAAATTGATCTCATTGTCTTTATTATTACCGTCACAGAAATATTCTGCATACTCCCGATGAGATCCAAAAACATGGCTCAGAATATTTTTCATGTCCTTTCTCAGATTTGATATTTTCGTAGGGGTTGTCATCTCTTCCTCACCCCTCCAAAAGTTGGCAGCACTCATGCTACCGCCATGCAAATTGATTGAATTTTTCCAAAAACAATTTTTTTCAGATTTTTAGCTTCATCCGAAAGTCCAGTTTTGAATTGTGCTATCACTTTTCGCATTTCTCGCACTCGACATCATTGTAGATGACAGCGACATTCCCCCTTGAATACCATACAAAGTCCAGAATATGGGTCAGCATCTCTCACTTTCTTGATTACGCTGCTGTCACCGTCTCCAATGAGCTTGTTATAAATCAGAACAAGCTGCTCCAAGCTCTGTGTAAATCCTTGAACAGTAAGACACTGGAAGAAGATGTCGAAATCAAGGACCTCGAGGAGACAGCAACGAAGGAAGAAATCTTTCGAAGAAATCTTTGCAGAAGGCTGCCGGAGAAAGTTGCGAAATTTCGCTAAATGCGATCAAGTCACTGCGGAAAGCATACGGAGGTACCCAGACGGCCTGGGTGAGACTGCCAGTCGCGACGACGAAGAAAATTGTCGAAGAATTCGGCAAGATCAAGATCGGGTGGATAAATTGCCGGGTCAGAAGAGTGGAGAGACCCCTGAAGTGCTTCAAGTGCTGGGACTTCGGGCATCTTGCCAATAAGTGAAAAAGCTTGGTTGACCGCTCCAAAAACTGTATCAAATGCGGTGAGGATGGTCATCTCGTCGTAAAATGCGAGAAAGATGCCAAATGCGTCCTCTGCGTCGCAAAGGGTCGCATGGACAATAGTGCTCATATTGCTGGCAGCGGTAGATGCCCAGCATACAAGGAGGCACTTCAGGCGTTGACCAAAAATCGACGATGAGAATACTTCAGCTTAACCTCAACCACTGCGAGGCTGCACACGACCTACTTACACAGTCGGTACGGGAGCTGAAGCCCGATCTACGGAAGCCCCTAGGGGACACAGACACACTGACCGACTCTGTATGCATGTATTCGTGAATTCACAGGCCGACATACACTGTCTGTCTGTTTTTTGAGGAGGGTCGACGCCATCTACCAGAAGTGATGAGTGATTTCTGTCAGCATTTCAATGTGTAATAAAATTGTATTAAATCAGTATGGCTATGAATAATAGTGTAGTAAACAAAATGAATAAAGAGGTAAGTACTTCATGAGTACCATTCCAAACTTTCTTTCGTATTTCCACTTAATTGAACCAGATGTTAATCAAATGACCTCAGTTTCCAATCTTAAGACATTGACACTCATTTTCAATAATTCAAGGGGTTTTTCAATTATTTTCAATAATTAAAAAACTCCTTGAACAATCACGGACAACAATTGTCCACAGAGTGGAGGACGTGCTCTTGACACGAGCACCCAGGAATGCCCATTCCTGGCATTTAACATTGACCTGCACCCCATACCTAACCTCTCCAGACCAAAAACACATCAAAAATCCCGTGACAAATATCCTTTTATCCAGTTAAAAACTCATAACTAGAGTGTTGAACCACCCACGCACCAACTCTCAAGTCCTTCCGTCTCTCAGCTTCGATGCAACCTCTCGGAGTCCACCGACATTGTATTATTTATGTTTCTGTTGCACTGGAAACTTTTCAGGAAAAGTATCCACCATAGGTGTTCGATATCAGAATGATCTCTGTAAGTTCGAGTTAAAAGAGGACAGGATCCTTCTCAGCAGACAATTATGCCGGATGTTTGCATTCAAAAGTCATGTGGCATTATTCTACAGAAAGGATGGAGATATCTATTCAGTTGAAGTTGATGAAAATGATAACTTTATCATCAATGCTGGCATCACAGAAGTGGAAGTCCAAACTTTCAGTAATTTTCAAGCAATTTTTACATTTATATAAAACATTTATCATTCATATTTTACAAGTCATTCATTATTGGACTGATCTAAATATATGGACTATTGCGTGTAGAAAACCCACCAGGAGTCAATCAATCAGAAACAAAAGCAAAACGAGTCAAGGAGATCATGGAAACCATTCGTAAATCCAAGAGTCTTTCATCTGATGGAGACCCCATCAAATCGCTCACAGCATCACAGTTAAAAGGTTCAAAATCTTCCACCAAGGTACAAAAGGTATGATTTTTTTTGTTACTCTACTGTTTAAAATAAACTTTGCATTTTTGGATAATAAGAAAAAATTTCAGGAGAAGAAGCCTTTGACTTCGAAGATTCAGTTTGGATGGCTACACAAGCCAGCAAAGGCCGCGAAGTTTTGTCAGATGAAAGGTGTCTTCGGTGGTGTAAGATCAGTGACCTTAGGCCAACACATTTACAGAGGGTGACACCGATTCTCTCATCAAAAATTCAACCCTTGAGATTGGCTCTTTACAAGGAGAAATGATCACCTCTTTTGACACAAAAGAAGGACAAAAGGGTCACTTTTGGGCGTGGCATCGATCCCAGAGAAAAATCCCGAGTCGTTTTGCAATCTACCTTTTCACTACAGCGAAAAGCGAACCCACCCCAGAAGTCCAGAACATCTCCTCAGGCAACAAACGATCTCATGAGTCAACTTATGTGTTGACTCCTGAAAATCATCTGGTCACGAAGAAGCTCAGAAATTCGATTGATTTATTGGTAGGTTCGGGCATCGATGGACTCTCTCCTGAGGATCATCAGCAGAATACTTCGCTTTATGCTAGTCGTGAGATTTCATCTACGAAGTCGTTGTTGGAGGTTCTGGAGGACGACGATTCGAAGAGGACTACAATGTTGAGTCGCCCGTATGATGTGCCATTCGAATATTATATGGGTGAAGGCAACCGTATCCAAGTCTTGTATCGGTACGATTGTTATTCGAAATATTCGGGTGAATTGTCGACTGTCAATTTAGATAAGAGAAGAATGTATGAACGTGATTATACGGGTATCCCCTGCGAAGATTTCACATCTTATGATCCCATCCAGGATGGTCACGAAATCAGCATCATCAAAATTCAGGCTGACAAAGAAAAGGAAAGGTCCCTTCTAGAAATCGACGTTGTTCAGGCTCTCACCACCTCTGGAAGTTCCACATTGCAGAAAATTTTTCAATTTCCCTCGTGTAACATTGCATCGAGATCGCCACACACGATTTTGTACGATACTCACGAGGTTAATGGGTTTTGTGGAGAGGAATTCGTTGCACCCAGTGCAAACCACATTTTGTGTGGTATCATAATAATCAAAAGGTTGCAGAAGGTGCCTTCCTGTACTGGGTGTCTGTTGCTAAAAATGATACCGGCACTTGGCGATGTGAAATCACGTGCAATGGAAGAAATCCCATTCCAAGTGAGCTCGAGGGTTTTCAAACTGAGCTGGATAACATTGATCAGGTGTCAGCAGATGCCCAAGAGATGAAAGAAGCCATGCCCCAGGAGTCACCTGAAGTGACGGAAATAACTTGTACTCCATTAATTCATACAATTATTTCACTCCAATCGATCCCAAAATCAGAATTGACATTCCACTCGATTATTGGCTCTGGTAGCCAAGGGAAAGTGTACAGAGGAGAATGGAATGGAACCCCTGTTGCTCTTAAGGAAGTTAAGTGCAATCCTCAAACTCTGAAGTACACCCACAGGGAAATTGAGATCCTTGATACCCTCCACCATCCAAACATTATTCAGGTCATGGCACTCTCAATCAATCCCAAAAAACTATATATCGTAGTGGAGTTGGTTGAGGGCCATCCACTGTCAGAAATTTTGGAGGATGAGGAGATACAGAGCAAGTACCAATGGAGCCCTGAATTGAAGCATAAAATTACGGTTCAGTTATGTCGTGCAGTTAACTATTTGCATAAACTCCCAAATCCAATAATTCATAGAGACATAAAACCTGAGAACATTCTAGTAACCTACGATGGACGTGTTAAACTGTGTGATCTAGGATTGAGTATGTTCACTGGAATGATTTCAGCGTTGACAGCGACCGTGGGGCACAACTCACTGAAAGGTTCCCCAATGTATCTGGCACCAAAAGTGTGGCTTGGTAGTCAACGCTCGAATATTTTTTCCGATCTATGGGCAATTGGTTGTACTATCGTTGAGATTTACAGTGAGAAATGCGTCTGGAACCTCGATGCCTTAGCCCCAGAACTGCATTTAAAATCAATCCTGGAAGAAAAGTCTACACCCTCCCTCAGTGATATTCCTCAAGCTCTCCTAATCATAATTGAAAAATGTTTCTCTTATGATCCTCTAAGTAGGCCACCAATCTCCAAAATTCTCTCAGCATTGTCTTCGATCGTGCTCCCTGGAATCTAGAAGCCAGTTGCAGCCAAGAGATCCTATCGATCTGTTCCAGCGATATTTTTATAAAAAAAAGTTGATTACAATGAGGATAAATGAAATGTTTCTGACTGAATAGTCTTTAGTTAATAAAAAGTATTAAGATTTTGTACTGTCCTCCTTACAACTGTGGATGATTATTCAATTTGGTCTGTGAACCATGAATATTTTGGACATATTTTGAAATGAGAGAAAAAGACAAAGATAATTTTTCAATGAATATGAAAAGTCGCATGATTGAAATGTTTATGAAAGACGAAGAGTATAGATGAAAGAAATGTCTAACTGTATTAGAAGCCCAGTGATAATAGTATTAAATACTATAGTCTCATAGTATAAGAATGTTTTGTGGTGATTACGATTATTCAGTCAACTTTTTTTTTTCTCATAATATGAAGGAAATTCAGTTTTGACTGAAAATTTGTTACGAAAAATTGACTGAATATACGTTACGAAATATGATTTGTTCAAAAATGGGGATGAATATTGACAAAAACAATGTCTAGTGAGATTTTGACCCCAGTGATAATAGTATTCAGTTTTTGTCCCGATATTTTCTGGGCAATTTTTTTCAATTTTTTTCTTTCTTCATATTCGTTCATAAAAGAGGATGAGCATAGACCAAAAAAATGTCTACTGGCACTTCGACCCCAGTGATTTTAGTATTCAGTTTTTCTTCAGATATTTTCTGATAAGACATATTACTGTTTTAATGATCTGAAGGATTCTAATATAAGATTATCCGGTGCAACCAAGACAACTATTTAATCGATTTTGTATTTTTTTCCCTTTTTTTCTTCATATTCGTTCATGAAAGAGGACAAGCATGGCCCAAAAAATGTCTAGTGGTACTACGTGCCCAGTGATACTATTATTCAGTTTTTCTCCAGATATTTATAGCTGAGAAATCTCACTGTTATGATAATTTTAAGGTTCTCTAGTAAGATAAGAATGTTCAGTTCATTTGTAGCTGTTAGTGATCATTTTGGTTTTTTTTCCCGGAGGTTTATTTATGAAAAAAAAATTTTGTTTGCATGGTGTTTCACAAGAAGATCGAGCCCGTGGCAAATATTCTGGCAAAATATCGTATTCATTTTAGTTCTGATCTCTATCGTATTAAATATCGTATTCGTTTGAGTTCCGAGGATTGAGTTTCAAGAATAAGCCAAAATTCTAAGATATTTACGTTTATGATACACTCCAAGTTTTTATTGTCATTCACATTATAATTACTACTAAAAATTGTTCGTTCCAATAAAGTTCAATTCATAAAAATATACATTTATCCTTTTTGAAATTGCGGTATTGACTGATTTGCTTCATGGTTTTATTAAAATTCCGATTGAATTTTTTTTACTGATCCATTACGATGGAAATGATATAAAACTATTCAATCGAAGCTTTCACATGAATCACTCCATATGAACTCAATTATCATTAGATAATTGCTCAATGCGGTCAATCAATCGCCCGAATAAACTTATCCCTTCATCAATAGTTGTAAAGCAGTTCAAGTCTGGAAACATAAGGTCTATTAGTTCTACAAAATCTTGTCGACATAAATGGGGTTCCATCGTAAATTGCGCCAGACATGCTTCAACAACTTGTTGATCTATTTCATTTCCATAATCTCTTACCCCATTCTCTGGAGTACAGTAATACAAATAATTGGGTTTCCCACATAGCAATTCAGTCTTCTTCTGTTTGCGTATATTATGTCGATTCCAATCTTTGCGAATAGATTCTAGATCATATTTTATTAGGGACCCAAAGCAGTATCTCAAGGCTTCAATATGAAGTGCATCGGAATCGTCAAATATACAATTATCTCGAAAATCTTTGAACAGTGAAATCCAAAAGTCCATACCCTGCTTCCTCATCCGGCACCAATAACTTTCGATTCTTTGATTCGAAGTACTTTTTCCTTGAATGAAACTCTTTAATCCCGATAATCTATCATCATGATCCATTCGCAGAGATTGCTGGATTCGATTACACAATTTTCTGTGCCTCGGTCTGATCGAATCAGTGTGGGTAGAAGACTTAATTTTTGTACTGCTTTCAAATAGTAGTGTGCTATGATCTGTGGATTATTATTGGATGTTGCAACTTCCAGCCATAAAATTTTCCTGGAGAATCCGTCCACGCAACCATGAATAGCAAAACCAAAAGGCTTTAGTTTATCGTATCCGTCTACATGCCATAGAAAATTGGGTCCAGGAACAACGTACTTTCTGCGTTTGGAATGATGACGAGATCGAGCCTCTATTCCCTCTGGATCAACCATTCTCAACAATTTTAGAACCAAATCTCGCTTCATTTTAAGGCCATAAGTCGTTCGAAGGCGATACCACATGGATTTATATCCAAGGCAAGACCCACTGCCATTCAATTCTTCTAAAAGAGCCAAAACAATGTGTTCCAGGGATGATTGGGTGTCATTGATTCTCTGTAAGCCCAGCCTTTTTAGTATGCGTCTCAGTTGTCGTGTGGACAATTTTATCGAGTGGCGTTGCTGTAATAAAGCCACAATTTCCGAATATAAGAAGCCTTCGGTGAAATACTGACGAATCAATTGGTCTCTTGATCGATGACCCCTAAACATAATGATAATAAAGCTGTAAGCAATAGAATTTGACACTTCCTAGATGATAACGAAAGGGGGAAAATTGAAAATAGGAGTTTGTGTCACAAGATAAACGTTTGACATTTCTGGAATGTTACTCATTCAAATGACCACTGAATGACATTATTATTTCTTCATCTCGAAATTATAACTTCCGTGTGATAAATCCAGACTTTGAGGAAATCATTTTTTTTCTTCTGTATTAACTCGAACCGAGTTACTAAAATTACTAATTAAATTACTAATAAATTACTATTTTTACTATTTTTGATGGGTGGAGCCAGTTCGAGGCCTGTGTATTATGCACATTTGAATAAGTGAAAAGTATTTATCTCGTTTCACACTAATCCCCTAAAATACTCTCCAAGTTACTGTGATAGAATAC